TGCCTGGCTCTCTCCCAGATCAGGTCTCCAGACTGGCTGCTAAACCCCTACTATTCCTCAGTGCCTAAGAGGGCACATACCCGTGGGCTGCCTCAAAGGCAGGAAAAGGTTAGGTTACAAAGATGGCACAGGCAACTATACTACAATTAAAGAAAAAAACAATAACAAAGATGGCACAGGCTTGGGATCAGGACAACTACCAAACCCTGAACCAAACTACTGATGTAGTTTCAAATCAAAAGAAAGACACTCAAATCCTACAAGTCCACTTTAAAGCATGTATTGTTTGCTCCTTAGGGGAGCAACGTCATCACACTATAAGGTGCGGACAAGGGGAAACTTTGCAATTCATTTTGTAGAGTGGAATGCAGAGTGGTAAACAACGCCCCTTTGAGGCAAAGCTGGTGCCCCTCCAAGAAGGTCAAACTACAGCTGTGTTCAGACGACCAACAGCCAATGGCTTTTAGCAGAGAAGAAAGGAGAGTGAGCCATTTTCTTGAGGGTAAATCAACTTCTCCACATTAAAGCTGTTAGGCAGCTAAATCTAGTAGCGACGTGCACCTTTACTATGACCAAATGACTTCTACTAAGAGGCTTCCTGGCATCACATAGCATTGAACTTTCAGTCCCACCTTTACCAATGTGGGTGACCTCTCCCCTTGTATATGGGTCTTGGTACAGCTATATATATTAATCCAAGAGCTAGCTGATGCTCTTAATCTCAGTGGCCTTTAGAGAGGTGAATCGGAATGTAGTGGTGTGGGAAAGTTAAGATAATGCTAAGTGGAAAACCAGACTCCAAAGCTTGGAGATTCTTTTTTCTTTCTTTTCCTGGCCGCGCCCCGCAGCTTGCGGGATCTTAGTTCCCCAACCAGGGATCGAACCTGTGACCCCTGCAGTGGAAGCGCAGAGTCCTAACCACTGGATTGCCAGGGAATTCCGGAAGCTTGGAGATTCTATTGTTCAGAGTTCAGTGTGTGAAGAAGGAGGTCTGAATGGAACCTGAAGCTTGCTGAGCTGGACAGGGGAAGCAGCCTGGCTTGACTTAATCGCTCTCAGGCAAGGTGCTGCACACACGACACAGGGAGATTTCTTTAACTTCTATAGCTCTTCAGCAGCCGGAGTAGTTGAAGGATAAGCGTGAAGTTGCATGAAGAAGGGTGGTCCGGCTTCTCTATTTCATGCTTTTGACTTCTCTAGGGGCAGCCAATCTGGGTCAGTGTATGTAGGAGTCAGAGCAGGGGCTTTGGTAAGACTGAGCCGAAAGGTATTGTGTTTTGAAAGGGAGTATGAAGAAGCAAGTGGTTTAAGGGATATAAAGTGTGGTGTGAAGTACAGAATATTATTCATCCTGCACAATCTTCCTGTAAGCAGCTCTTTTGCCCCTTTTCTGTTTGTCTATCTCTGTTTCCCCTCAGACCTTAGTTATAAAAATGAGATCACTAGGTAACGTTTAACCTAACTCCTGACTTATGCTCTTCTGAATGTACACCATGCCTTCCCTAACGTGTTGAGTCATTTCCTGGATTCTAAGGAGTAAGAATGAAGAATTAAATAGTTGAAGAATGACTGACCCTCTACTCCTAATTTCCCCGTTAGCAAATTTGCAGGTGAACCACGTGGACAAGATAGCATCCAAAGGAAGATCACGAGTCAGCAGATCTGCACACAACAGAAAAATGACGAAGAATCTGACCCTCTACCTTAATGATTAACTGAGATTATTTCCCCTTTTTCCCTTTAAAAACTTTCATGACTGAGCAGAGTCTTTGGGGTTGGTTTTGGGATTCCACCTTCTCCCTGGGTAGCCGGTTTCCTGATTAAAGCAACATTTCCTTTCCAACCAACTCTTGTCTCTTTAATATTGACTTTTCAAGTGGTGAACAGCCGAACCTGAGTTCGGTAACATTCCCTTTAGCACTAAGCACTTCAAAATGCAGGCCACAGTGAAAGGTTAAGACAGCAGTAGGAGTATCCAGGAGAGGGAAGACCACGGACGGACTCATCATTGTTGTGTAGAAAGGAAACTCTGAGTGCAGCAGTAAGTGGTTGCATACAATCAACCCGGACTACTAACGTTTATTTCTAAAAAATATCTAGAGGAATTCTTCAGTGACTCAGGAGTTATATATATTTTGAATGTAAACTGGTTCTCTAATATATGAATCAGGTTTCCAGGTAATCCTTGGAAATAAAATTTTGTTCTTGAAAATCAGTGTATCATGTTGGAGATTGTGATGGGCTTCACTCGCTCAGAGGAAAGATGACATTTTAATACCTTCTGATCCTTAAAAAAATGTGAATCTAGGCCATGCTAGTCCTTTGAGAAGTCCTGTTTGACTAGATAGTGACTAACTTACACATCACTTTGGTGAGGAGAGAACTTAACCCCCCCACCCCCAATCCCAGTAGTTGAATTTCCAGAAATGGGGAACTAAGCTGATTATTAATGCTGAAGAAAGACTAAGAGATGAGCTATCTTCTCATCTGTTCCATATCTGTTACAGAGGACTCAAAAAGAAGCAGGAGCTGCCCAAGGCTTAAGTGTAAGCTTTGGTTCTTTTTAAGAATGTTCAGTTTATACACTGGGCTAGAAATGAGAGAGGGTTGCAGAAAGAAAGAGCATGCAGTTTCCTGGAAGTGCCTAAGACGGTTTCTTTTCAGAATGTTATGGTGATGCAGGTGCAAGAGGGCAAAGCTTCATGTCTCTGTTCACCCACCTGATGGTGAGCCAGTTGGGCACTGATTCACCTGTATGTTCCCTAGACAACCTCGCCAGCACACTGGGAAACAATCCCTGCTGATTCAGCAGGGCCACTGTTGCAAAAACCTCAAAGTGCCCATCGTAGGTTCTCGCTGCTTTCAGGACAGACCACTGTGGAATCCCGAGGGAGAGCTTTCTCAGCCTGGCTGGGAAAGGGTAAGTCTCTCCGAGGTCTTTTAGCCTCCTGCTTTTAGGGCCAGCCTTGATAGCTGCTCAGCTGTTAAGAATCGCCATATAACATCCATAAAATGGACCCAATAAAACTCTTACCAAGGGAATGGGGAGTACAAAATTGCAGGGGGGCCGAACGGGGAGCAAGGCAATCTCCTCTAAGTTACTGCCTCTTCACACACACCAAGGGCATTGCCAAAGGCATTAAAGTAATTTAGAGGTCCAAGACTGTATTCTAAATTTGTGCCTTCCAAATAGAATCCTGATTCTCTAGGGTTTTTAGGATACTTAGCAAATTTTGTCAAATATGTGTCTTTTTAAAAAACCTAAATGAACTTTAAATGTAGAAATAGAGTGAACCTCATTTTCCGATCACAGGGCAGGAGAACCAAAAATTAAGAGGAAAATAGCAATATTGTACAGTTCTTGGGTCAAAGAGGAATTATAATGAAAACTGTGATAATAAATAATTTTGAAGTCATCAATAATAACATTGTGACGGTTAATTTTATGTGCCAACTTGACTGGGCTAAAGGATTCCCAGATAGCTGGTAAAACATTATTTCTGGGCATGTCTGTGAGAGTGTTTTCAGAAGAGATGTGCATTCATTCCGTGACTGAGTAAAGAGTTCCGCCCTCACCGATGTGGGTGGGCATCGCCCAATCTGTTGAGAGCCTGAATAGAACAAAAAGGCAGAGGAAGGGCAAATTCCCTCGCTCTCTTCTTCAGCTGGGATGTCCACCCTTTCCTGCCCTTGAACATTGGAGCTCCTGGTTCTCTGGCTTTTATTTATTTTTTAAATTTTTATTGGAGTATAGTTGCTTTACAATGTTGTGTTAGTTTCTGCTGTACAGCAAAGTGAATCAGCTATACGTATACATATATCCCCTCTTTTTTGGATTTCCTTCCCATTTAGGTCACCACAGAGCACTGAGCAGAGTTCCCTGTGCTATACGGTAGGTTCTCATTAGTTATCTATCTCTGGCTTTTAGACTCAGGGACCTACACCTGCAGCTCTCCCCCCATCCCCCATTCTCAGGCTTTTGGACTTGGACTGGGAGTTAAACCATTGGCTCCCCTGGTTCTTACATCTTCGGACCTGGACTGAATTACACCACCAGCTTTCCTGGTCCCCCAGCTTGCAGACGGCAGATTATGGGATGTATCAATCTTCATAACTGTATGAGTGAAGTTCTATAATAAATCGAATTTTATATATATATAAATACATACACATATGTATATGCGTATATATATAAATACATACACATATGTATATGTATGTGTGTGTGTGTGTGTATATATATATATATATATATATATATATATATATATTTATATATATATCCATCTACCCATCCTACCTGTTTCTCTGGAGAATCCTGGCTAATAGAAGCATTATATATAAAAAGTATGGAATGTGACTAAAGACATATTTAGAGGAAAATCCATAGCCTTAAATGCTTTTATCATTAAACAACAAATACTTAAGATACGATATGCTGGATATTTATTGAAAGTGTACACTGTGTGAGGCCTGAAAAACATATATTTCATTTAATCTTCATAGTACTTATGAGGTGGGTACTGCGTTTTGCTATTCGTAATACTTAGGAGGTACGTACTATATTTTGCCCTTATCTTTTTGAAATGCTCAGAAGTATAATTAGGCACATCCACACAATGTTTTAACTATGATATGTTTCCAAGGACTATTTCACATAATTCTTGATTCAATGCCACAAATATTTATTAGTGCTTATTATATACAAGACACTATGACAAAGAAATGAATAATAGATGTTCTCTACCCTGTAAAATCCAGTCATGTGTGTTTATGATATAGATGATACAGCTCATATTATGATTGCAACTAACATTACTAGCTAAATTGATTGTATTAAATGCTAAAACTGGTACATAAACCCAGCACCATGGTTGCAGGGAGTAAAGTGATTCCAACTGAGGTTGGGGGCAGGAGTCCATCGTGGTGATTGTTGCCACTGCTCAGGGAAGCATCTCTAAGTTGTTCAAACAATTAGTTAATGTGATTGAAGCAGGAAGGGCACATACATTTCCACTTTATTAAAATATTGCATAGATACAGAGCAGTTGGGCACATCCATTCTAAGGCACTGTCCTGGTTTGAATGCAATTCCACAAGAGAGAAAAGAGAAGCCATTACATTCGGTATTATTCACCTCTACATTCAGACTCCTCCCATGTTCCATGTTTATTGCTACTGGGATCTCAATTTTAACCCCAAACTTATAGCAGCATCATACTGGGACCTAGATGACAAAAATGAAAGACACATCCTGGCTCTAGCACTTGATATGATTTGGCACTTAACTACAAACTCTCTTGCATTGCTCTCCATTTGTTTCCCAACTCTTGTTTAACTAAAGATATTATAAACTCTTTATGAATTAATTTCTTTACTAGTTTTCATTAAGCCTAGAACAGGACTAGTTAGGCACATAGTAGATACCCCCAAAATGCTTCTATTAAATATCACTTCCAAGAACTTCAATGGAATAGAAAAAAATATACTTTCTGTAATTCTAGTTTAAGGAAAGGATGACTGGTATCCTCATAAAGGGGAAATACTTGAATGTCCTATTTCTTGTATTTTACAAGGAACTAGGCTGAATGAATATTTTCATGTATTAACAGCTTTAACTGACAAAGAGAGTTCTTCCCTTGCTACAGGAACTTGAGTCATTACCACTATTATATGAGAACATTTATGTAAGTAGCAATGTGTGTGTGTGAGATTATAAGTAAAATTCAAAGAGGCTGTGAATCACTGAGCAACGTATAAATATCTGAATTAGTGACCTTCACCTCCTTAAATAATGTGTGTGTGTGTTACATAAAAAACATATAAGTTTAAAGAGTTTTTCATAACACCCTTGAGACAACTGGAGATAACTAGGCTTGAGAACAATCAGACTATACAGATAGCTATAGAAATATCTGTTAAAGGCAGTGTGTTCCAAAGCATATTTGCAGAATACTAGCTTTGTGGGTCATTACTGGGTATACATGAAAAAGGGTTCTGGGCTCAAACAGGATTGTAAAACACTGAGCCAAAAGAGGTGCTTTTTCCGCCTTTACCAGAGGACCTCTCAGAATTCTTATATGCTGATGTGCGCTGTGAATCTACAAAGCAGAAACAGCAGGAAGTGATTCCCAAACTTATTTGCAGACTATCTTGTATAACTAGGTGTTCTATGACACACACTTAGGGAGACACTGAATTAAAGGATGGGTAAAATTTAAAAGCACTGAGAGATACATAGCTGGATAGCAAAGGAGAGTGAAAAGCAATGGACACTGGTTCCTCAGTCAATCTAAATTAAATTAGATTCCACTTGTATAGCTTCAACTGTCAAATGGGTTCTTCCACAAAAAGCTGACTTATTCTGGGAACAAATAAATCATCAAATCAATACTCAGCTCTAAGCCGCATCACCCCAGGCTGCAACTAAGCAGACTAGCCACCTTTGCAAAATTCAAAAGTAAAGATTAAAATTCTAATTTCCTCAAAACTAAAATTTTCAATGGAAAGAACCCAGTTCATACCAGGCAAATGAAATCGTCTTCATCCATGTGTTCCTAACACATTTTCATTATTTCATAAAATACACTGTCTCCTTTCTTGCCACTTGGGACACATATAAAGCTTTAAACTAATATAATCACCTTTAATAATGACAGCAGAATAATTATAGTGTTGCTATAATAGATATGTCAGATAAATATGATTATCCATTATGTTGACCCTACCCTGAAAAGGATTGCCATTATTTTTATGCTTACATCTATGATACGGTTGGCTTGGTTCACAAAATTTTTCAATGTAATAAAAAAATAAGAGTTGTAGAGACAGAATAAATCAAATCTAGGAAAACTGCAAGAGTAGATAGATACTCTAGAATTCATATGACTTGGAAGATGGGTTTTTAAAGTAGAAAAAAAAAGCTGTTCTTATAAGCTCAAACAAAAAAATTCTTCCAAGACAAACAGGATGCTGCAGGTTTAAGATTTTGTTTTTTGAGTTACTGTCAATCTCTGTAGGACTTGTTTCCTTTAACAATCCTTAAAGAAGACCTCTAAAGTGAGTGACTTGGTGCATAATAAGGCCTGCTCTCTGTCTGAAGCTTTTAGAACAATGACTACACTTGTATGGCTTCTCCCCTGTATGAATTCTTAAATGAATAACAAGGCTTGGTCTCTGTCTAAAGCTTTTCCCACAGTAATTACATTTAAATGGTCTCTCTTCAGTGTGAGTTCTCTGGTGCAAAGTAAGAGCTGTCAGCCTACTAAAACTTTTCCCACAATTATGACATCTATGCGGTTTCTCACCTGAATGAGTTTTCAGATGTCTTTTAAGACTTGATCCATGACAAAAGCTTTTCCCACACTCAAGGCATTTATATGTTTCTTCTTCAGAGTGGGTTCTCTGGTGCCCTATAAGGTGTGACCGCCGAGTGAATCGCTTTTTACACACCGTGCATTCATAGGGTCTCTCCCCCGTATGAAGTCGTTGGTGTCTGTAAAGGTCTGAACTACGAAGGAATCTTTTTCCACATTCAGGGCACTTATGAGGTTCCTCTCCTGAATGAATTCTCTGGTGCCCTGTAAGCTGTGACTTCCGAGCAAAACATTTCCCACACTGAGAACATCGGTGAGGTTTGTCTCCTGGACTCTTTTTCTTATGGGGTCTAGCGTTGAGGGGTTCTTCCAAGTTGGAGCTCTCAGGTTTCTCTCCTGCTGAGGGGTTCTGATGCTCTACAAGTTTTGTTAAATCTCTCTGTAAATCCTCTGGGGGGGGTTCCCATTGATTTTCTAACTGTACATAGTCCTTTTGCAAAATGGGGCCATGAAGAGCATTCCCCTCTAAAGTAACAATAAATGGATACATATTCTCCATTTTTTTCTGTTTTTCTGAAGTAGCTCCTTCATTTTCTATCCCGATCTCAAAACCTGAGAGAAGAAACAGAATGCAGATGTCACTGTGTCCCACATTGAAAAGAACATGAAGGAAAATGAGTTATATTAAACCACTGGTAGAAATAGAGACATTCTTAAGTACAATAGAATCCAAAACTCTTTACCTTGTTCAAAGTCGATTTTTTTCTTTTCTTTCTTCTGTGTTATCAACGAATGATTACTTACCTAACTTGGAATCGAGTAATTGCTTAATTTCTTTGGAATCTTGTAGTTCCTTCACCCATGCCTCTTCTCTATGCTCCAATGGAAAGCTCACGTCGAGTTTTGGTATTGGATATCCTGGCCAGAAGAAAGATGAGAAGCATAATAGTTTAGGTCACCAAAGATTTTTTCAGAGTTGAGGCTGATATCTTGGACATATGGCCCTTAATATCTAGGTCCTCCTCAACTACTATTATGTCATCTGGAATCTCTTGCAAGAGTCTTATTTTTCTTTAAGACAAGAACAAAACAAGGCTATTCTCTTCTAACCTATGGAAAGGGAGTAAATCAATTCTGTGCAGAAATCAATACAATAAACTGCTACCGTATCTATTTTGATAATAGATTTATTTAGGTTAGAGCCAAACTATGAAGTAAATCTTCATAAAGTTTTGGCACATTAAAACTGAGAAATGCTGATATTGAGTACTACGTAAAGAGAGAGAGGTAAAGCCAGAAGTTATACAACTGCTTACTGGAATAATTTCAGTTGAGATTTTCAAATTATAATGGAAACGGACTGGGTTAGCAACCAGAAAAGCAGTCTCTATGCTTGTTTCAGCTGAAGACTAGAAGTGGATCCTCTTGAAATTAACCCAAGTAACCATCAAAGGGTGTTTCTCACTGTCAAGCTAAGGACAACCAGAGAAGTTTCTACATTCAGTGCTCTGCTGTGTCCTACCACCCTCTCCTCACTGAGGAGAGCCACTCTGACTCCCATCCTCTCTCCACGCCCCTTCCTCGCCTTCCTCAGCTCTGGCCAAGTTAACCGGTCCGCCATCAAGTTTGGGTTGCAAGTGGCTCATCTGAGATCAAAATGCAGCATGATGTTTAAATATTAGCATCATTAAAATAATATCAGCAAGTTAATTTGATGAAACTTTAAAATTTAAAACATATCAAAATGGAGGAAGTGGACTAAAATACCTTATTTTATATTTTCATGGAAAAAAGGACCTTTTAAGATTAAGAAGCAAAAATGCGTTGCGAATAAAATTCTGTTTAAATTCACTATATTGTTTTTGTTTGGGTTTCAAAGCTAAGAATAGGATGAGAGGGTAATGAGACCGAGGTCAAATAAAAATGGAGGTCATAGATCAAAGGAAAGCTGCAATTACATAAAAGTAGGAGCAAACTGAAACTTGAAATAAGCAGAGAGAGTAGCAAAGGCCTAGGTGTGAAACACTAATTTATAATCTAAATGCAGGGAGGGAGACAGACTTCCAACACGATACCATGAGGAGCTTTGCAGACCTATTTCCTAGTGAAACTGGTGAAAATTACTAAAAATAACAAAGAAATGTTCAAAGTCTAGAAAATTAGGAAACATCTATTGGATTGGCCAAAAAGTTCGTTCGGGTTTTGCCATAAGATGTTCTAGAAGAACCTGAACAAACTTCTTGGCCAGCCCAATATTTTTAAAAATCTGCTAAAATTTACAGAGAACAGCAAGAGTCTTACGTATTTAAACCAAAACTGTTCTCTTTGGGCCCTCTCCCAGCTCCACTACAGACTGGCATAGCCAAGAGCCTGGGGCACTCTTTCCCCCAGCTCCCATTCAGAGGGATATCTTCCTGGGAGGGGCAGGACCCCAGCATTTGTCACCCTACCCTTAGCTATCTACAGTTGAGTCTAAATTCCAGGCCACTGTGGCTGAGAGGTGAGGGCTCCTTTCATCTACCCAGTCTCCACTGGTGGGATAGAGGATCTATCTACCTTGGGTGTAGTATTGCTGAGAATACTAGGGCCCGGATTGCCCTTGCAAGGCAGTTGTGGTTTTGTAAGGCAACTGTGATTATAAGGCAGTGGTTTCTTGCCTGGAAAGGCAAGTCAAGGAGACCTGAGGCTCAGACTTAGTGCTCAGCTCCTAAAGTGGCAATGTGACTCAGAGATAAGCACATTACTGTCCCCACCTCCAGCTCCAGAGCAATGCATCTGAGATTTGGCCTGAGAGGACAAGCAGGCCTTAAAAGAGGTAGCTCCTAAAGTCTTCTCAAAGAAACTGACTTCATTTCCAAGAGAGAGAGGAGACGTTCAAGCCTAAGGATACTCTCAAAAAGAGTGGAGGCTGTAATGAAAGGCAATTGGAAAGAGTGATAGATTTATTGCATATACACACTAAACTGTAGGCTGACTAGTTTGCAGAAGAGAACTGGGGAAAGAGACAGCTGGGAGGAGCCCTCCTGGGATCAGAACAAATCTCAAAAACTGACCTCAGGAACTAGCCCATCTAAGGTGTCTGAATTTGATTGAATTAGTCTACAGAGCAATTTATGCTCCAGGGCATTGTTGAAGCAACAGAACAATTAGCTGGTAATTAATAGCTGGGGCTGGTCATGGCGAGAGACAGCCAAAGAAAGCCCTGCAAAAACTACTGTCATTCCAGGGTGACTATGCGCACACCCAAGGCTGTGCTCCATGAGGGCAATATCAAATGCTTAATATTGCAGGGTGAACTAGAGTTCACTAAAATAATCCAGCCACTCACCAAACAAATAAACAAACTCCGGAGAGTGGGAAGAAGGACACACAGTTGCTACAGAATGTAATCTAAAATGTCCAGTTTCCAACAAAAAACAAGACATGTATGTGAACAGGAAAGTATGACCCCTACACTGGAAAAAAAAAAAAAAGCAGGCAGCAGAATCTGCCTATGAAATTGACTAGATATCTAATTTAACAGACTTCAAAGTAGCCATTATGAATGTGTTTCAAGGACTAAAGGAAACCATGATTAAAGAAGTACAGTAAATTATGATGGCATTACATCACATCAAATAGAGAATATTGATAAACAGGGACTTCCCTGGTGGCGCAGTAGTTAAGAATCCGCCTGCTAATGCAGGGGACACGGGTTCAAGCCCTGGTCCAGGAAGATCCTACATGCTGTGGAGCAACTAAGCCCGTACGCCACAACTACTGAGCCTGTGCTCTAGAGCCCGTGAGCCACAACTACTGAGCCTGCGTGCCACAACTACTGAAGCCTGAGCGCCTAGAGCCCGTGCTCCACAACAAGAGAAGCCAGTGCAATGAGAAGCCTGCACACCGCAACAAAGAGTAGGCCCTGCTCACTACAACTAGAGAAAGCCCGTGCGCAGCAATGAAGACCCAACGCAGCCCAAAGATAAATAAATAATTAAATTTAAAAAATATTGATAAATAGAAATTATTTAAAAAATAATTGAAATCGAGTCCCCCTAAAACTGAGTTCCTCTGCTGAGTTTATGATTAACCCCTCTATCCAAAATTTTATTCCCTTTTTTGTCTGGCACCTGTTCCCCTCAGGATTGAGGAGTATCAATGCAAAGGGGGGATTGAAACCAAGCAGGACTCTCTGTGTCCTCCATTTCTTGTTTGTAGAAAAAGGCTTTAGCCTCCTAGGCCTTCCCTGACTTCCAAAGAGCAAATTCAAGCAGTTACTAATTAGGGAAGTGAGGGAGTGCAGAAACAAAGGAAAAGCAGTCAAGAAACAATAGTTCAGTAAACAGAGTCCTAGTTCCTCCTCAAGGGAGGGAGATATACGTGCGTGTGTGTGTGTGTGTGTGTGTGTGTATAAAATAATCTGATACATATCTTTGAGTTGTTCTGCAGGAGCTAAGGTTCCCCATCCAGGTGGAGGATGGTAACTACCTTCTGAGACCCCAGACTGGTCAGAAACTTGATGACTGAGATTCCTGAAACATCACTCTGCTACCTCACTATCAACCAATCAGAAGAAAGTCATGCACCCTGCAGCCCTCACTCCAAATGCTGCCTTTAAAAACTCTTTCCTGAAACCCATCAGGGAGTTCAGGTCTTTTAGGTATGAGCCATCTGTTCTCCTTGCTTGGCCCTGCAATAAACCTTTCCTTGCTCCAAACTCTGACATTTCTGTTTGTTTGGCCTCACTGTGTGCCAGGCACAAAAACTTGGGTCTGACAATAGAATCAAGTGGTAATTCTGGAGTTGAAAAGTACAATGACTGAAATGAAAATTTCACTACAGTGGCTCAAGAGTACATCTGAACTGTCAGAAGAATTGCTGAACTCGAAGACATATCAATAGAGGTTATGCTATGAAAAGAACAGAGGCAGAAAAGAATGAAGAAACATGAATGGAGTCTCAGAGAAAAGTGGGGCACCATTAAGTGCACCAACAGATATATAATGAGAGAACCAGAAGGAGAGGAGTGAGAGAAAGGAGCCGAAAAAATATTTGAAGAAATAATGGCCCCAAACTCCCCAAATGTATTTAAAAATATCAATATACACACCTAGGAAGCTCAATAAATTCCATGTACAATAACTACAAAGAGATCTACAAACAGACACATCAGAGTAAAAATCCTAAAAGCCAAATAAGAAGAAAAAACCTTGAAAGACAGCAAATGAAAAATGACTTGCCACTTACAAGGGAACCCTAGCAAGATTAAAAGCTGAGTTCTCATCAGAAACAACAGAGGCCAGAAGACAGTGGGATAATATATTCAAAGTGTTCAAAGAAAAATAAAAACTGTCAACCAAGAATCTTATATCCAGAAATACTATCTTTCAAAAATGAATATGAAATAACATTTCTGATAAACAAAAACTGATGAGAATTCATCGGTAGCAGACTTGCCTAACATGAAACACTAAAGGAAGTTCCTTAGTCTGAAAGCAAGTGATCCCAAACAGTACCTGAATCTACATGGAAAAACAAAGGGCACAAGTAAGGGTAATTATTTAATTATAAAAGATAGTACAAATACAAATTTCTGTTTCTTGTCTTAAAAGATTTTAAAAGTGATTATGTAAAACAGTATGTATGTAGTATATTGTTGGGCAAATAACATATAGAAATGTATTCTATTTGCCAATAACAGCACAAATGAAGTGGGTAGGAGAAAGCTGTACTGGGCTAAAGAAATGACTTCTAACTGAAGTTAGAACTTGAATCCACAGGAAAAATGAAGAAAATCAGAAATGATAAATAATGTTAATATAACAAAAGCTATAACATATACTTGTTTTCCTTTCTTCTCCCAGCTCCTTTAAAAGTCTTAAAATTATATAAAGTAATAACTATAACAAGATATTGTTGAGTTTGTAACATTTTTG